AAATAAGGACTAAAAGATATAATAGATAATGTGAAATAAGAAGAAAAGGTGCAAAGGGCAAGGGGAAATGGGAGGGGTAGGGGAAAAGAAAGAAGGGAATGGAATTAATATGAGAAAAAGAAAAAATGGAAACAAAGTCTTTGTAGATAGGGAGGGTGGAGAAGTTGAAGGGAGGGCAGGGGAATGGGGAAAAAATAGAACCAAGATGGATTATGTAAAGGTGCAAATTTCTAATGATGAATGTCATTATATTGTATACCTTAAATGTACCAATATAATTTTTTAAAAAGGGAATGTAGTCAGAAAAATGTCTAAAAAAGGCTCTTCGGGGGTACAAAAATGTAAACAAATGGGAGTTGAGAAAGGGTATAGATTGAACTAAACAATATAATCATTTCACCGCCCAGAATCTAAGTTAAATTAAAAGTCAATTGTACAAGCATAGAATCAGCCACACAAGTGTAATTCATGCAAGAAACCACAGAAAGTTTTAATTAAGCTACGTGCTACCCACTGAGGAGGTTTATGCTTAAAGCACAACCAGAGTGGCAAAAGATCTGGAAATTATATCCTATGAGAAATGGTTTAAAAGAACTCATAATATTTATCTCAAAGGAATAATGATGGGGTGATCTGATAGATACTCTAAAGTATGGCCATATAAAAGAGGAATTCAAAATAGCTTGTGTGAAATTATTTTTACTTAATGTAAGGAAGATGCCTTTAACTACTGGGAATGCTCAAATATGGAATAAATTCCTTCATGGAAGGATAAGTTTTCCAAATTATCAGGAAGATATTTCTGCACTGATCAGAAAGGTAGATATAGCCACTAGGTCTCCTTCTAATTAGCAGATTTTATGTTTTCTTACTTATTTTAAAGTTATGTAGGTTGAAAAGATGTCTGAAGATGAGCTCAGTCAAAACATTTTCACTTAGTTTCAAAGCCAAAATTCAGGAATATTTGGTTAAGAAATCTCTCATTTTTGAGCCAATTTGGGTACCAATATTTAAAGCCTTAATTCTCCTGGACTCTGGAATGTTGTTTTACCTCCTAACTCTGGCTTGATTTCCATGTTGCTATATAGGGCACAGAGAGAGCTATGGGGAAATGTCAAGACCGAGGATTCAGAGTTTGAGTTCCATGAATCTTCAGGTCTGTTTCATGAAAATATTGGTATTGGGCCAACAAAATGGAGAGCATATTTCCTTTCCTTGTTAGGCTCTACCTTGCTCACTTGTTCTGGTTCTTCCCGTCTCCCTCTCCTCCTCCTTCCTTCCCTCCCTCCCTTCCTTCTCACCATCTCTTAAATCTTCAACTAGCCAGAAGCAGAGTTGTTTCAGGGGTTGGGGCAAAGGGTAGTAATTTCAGGTTCAAAATGAACAGCATGCTCACTGGGAAAGTGGGTGAATAAGATGGGAGCCTTTATAGTTTGTGAACATGAAACTAGGAAAACTATTTGAGATTCACATCCCCAGAATTGTGTCCTGATGAACATCGCAAGATAAAAGGGACGGACCTTGGCTGGGATGTAGCATAGTTTTAGTAGGGGTCTGAACACCCCACTGAAGCCTCTTGGATAGCCTTTCAAAAGCAAACATAATTATTTGCTCTGCTTTTCATATAGTACTGCTGGGCAGAATCTCAGTTGTGCTGCTGCTAGAAGTTAGGCTTTTTACAGCTACCATGGAATCATACTCCACTTGCCTCCTTCTCTCTGTGATTGGCCAAATGTTACCTGCTCTTTCACAAAATGATCTTTTCTTTCCTGAACCCCGTTAGGTGCTCTCTTACCCACACTCACTCACCAAAGTCCTCATCACTATCAGATATTCCCACAAGGGTCATGTCTGCAGCCTAGCTCATATGAACTTTGCCAACATGTTAATATTTTTCTCTGCATGTTGTCTGTCAAGTAATATCCATATCTGTCATATTAACTCTGGGACAGAAGTCAGAAACCTAGCAGATCCTCTCCTTGAAAGTCCTATTTCTCTTTGGAACAGAAAGACCTTTCAAACGTGGCTTTCTGGGTTTTCCAGTTTGCTGGTGGGTGGATCTGGAATGGGCATCCCATCTGCACATCTGGCAGGGGAGCCTTCCAGATTTTCCTCGTGACTCAGGATCAGTTTCTGGGTGGGGCAAAGTCTCCTGAAGTTGTTGCAAGGCGCCTCCCCCTGTGAGTGGAGCTTGGTACAGCTCAAATAGTTTTCAGGTTAAGAAAGCCAGAATCTTTGTTCAGCTGCACTGACTGAACAGACTTAGTGAAGTTACCTGGCTAAGAGCAGTGATAGCAGCAGCAGCAGCAGCAGCAGCAGCAGCAGCAACAGAAGCAGCAGAGCTCCTGAGATAACTCAGGTGAGTAGAGAGGGTATTCATAAACTTAGCCTAGAGTTGTCTTTGCTAGATAACTTAGCATCTAAGAGGGGTGAAGGAACTTCAACTTTGCAGTCAATCAAATTTGTGGCTGTAATTTTATAATCTGTATCAGATGTGTGCATGTTAATTACAGTTTGAAAACTTCAGAAAAAAAAGGAATTTTTGGTTGGTGGCTTTCAGTGTGGGGGGGTAATTGTGGTTATCTGGCAATAAGACCTTGGGAGGCTATTTGGTCAATTCTGTGTGTATGTGGGAGTGTGTGTGTGTTTGTGTGCGTGTGCACACATGCACATGCATACTTTTTGGTAAATACTTGGTAAGTGAAGACAGTTCTGTGACAGGAATGTGAGGCGAGAAAACTGGATGACTGTCAGGGCTTCATTCTAGCTTCAGCTGACCCACAGCTATTGGCAAATTACTGAAAAGCAGGCAAAATCTTGGAGCCACACTTTATGCAAAAGGCCTGGCAGTGGGGTGTGCAGACTGTACGCTGTTGCACAGGAGGGAGTGGCAGCCCAGGCCGTCTTAATTCCTTGTCTGCACAACCTCAAGGGCCCTTCTGCCCTGGTGACAGGTTGATCTTGGCTATTCCACTGTCAGAACCTAGCCTTGTTTTGTTTCCCTCTTATTTTAGCTTTGGTTTAAATTTTGATTTGTAATTGACCCCCCTACACAAAAGCACACACACACTACACTATGTTAAGGGCTTCACTGGGCTAGTTGACTGGAGGGTCAGGAAAAAGAAATGGCTGTGAATTGCAATTGAAACAATTGGTTCTGATGATTTAGAACTCTAAGTTTGGTGAAAAGTCCATAGGAAAATTCGACAAATTCTGCTGTTCTGACAGTCACTTCTGGCTTTAGGTTAAAGCATCCTGGTTTGTATTAATGTTTTATTTAAATTCAGTTAATGCTTTATTTGTTAATCTCTGTTGTGAAATTAAGGACACTTTACAGTCTGAATGAATAAACAAAAACATTCTTTGGGGACTAATTAACTCTTGGATTTCTCTGGCAGTTGTGTGTGTGTGCTTGTGTGTATGTGCAATCATGTGCACATGTTTGTGTGAGTGTGAATACTTTGGATTTGAATAGCATTCTTTATTAGTCTTCACAGTCCCTAGCAGTCCAGGGAAAAGCCTAAACACTTATGTGGTCAGGAATAGGTTAAAAAACAGGCTTTTCATAACCTTGGGAGTTTTCAGCCCCTAAATTAAGAGCAGAAATAGCCCCTTTGTGACCCAAAACAGTGTTTCTTTGATTAGCCTTGATTTGAAATCATCTCACCTTCTGACAGCTCACAATTCAAAAACAAAAGCCCTAAGCACATTCTTGCAAGAAGAGGACAATGAAAATTCTCAAAACCAAAGTCTTGCTTAAACTTTTGGATTTGCATGCTTTCTTCCACCACCACTTTTTTGAAAAAGAAATTACGGTGAAGAGTCAGTAGGTTCCAGTTTTAGTGCTGACTCTGTCAGTGTATAATCTTCCACAAGTTCCTTCACCTTATAATAAAAGAAATTAGTCATACTAAATGGTTTTCTGAACGTCCTTCCAGCACAATATTCTATAAAACTCAAAATTAGATTCTCAAAGTACTGTAAAATTTAGACTTATAAGATGGGCTTATTCAGCCAAGAGGGTAAGTCAGCCAAAACAGAGGTGGAACAGGGAGTAGAGAATGGCAGAGGGGCCATTTTATATTGGTCTTTCTAATGTCAGTGTGTGTCTTATTTTAAGCATATGATCAAATGTCCTCAGTTTCTACTGAGGACAGAAAAGGGGTATAATTTGCTAAAAATGAGTTTTCTAATACCACTACCCTATGTTAGCTTTATCCTTAGCAATTACAAAGAATCCTCACTCATAAGCGTACTTAATTTCATGAGATCTTCCCAATAACACCCTGAGGTGGGCAAGGCAGCCTTCATGTAACCCTTTGCTTATGGTGAAACTGAGAGATAGAGATGTTAGGCACCTAAGTGGCGTCACTCTTGACTGCTTGTGCTCATTTAATGATTTTGAATTGCCTTTTTATTTTATTTTATTTTTGCTTTTCACTGTTCAACAATGGAATTAAAAAGAAATTATGTTTTCCTTTTTTCTCTTTAAATTTCTTTGAACAGAATCTTCTCTGGGCCTGGTACGTGCATCTATATAAGCTGGTAGGCTGGGTCAGAGGACCTTTGTGGTCCTTCTCAGATTCTAGATTATCTGGCCAACAGTTTGAATCTAAACAGCTGCATCTAAGTTCCCTAAGAGATGCATATCTATAGATGTAAGCTATGACTCCTCCTGTGTAGCTTTCTGTGGAAAGCACTGTTCTCTCTGTAACATGTGTATGTTGAATTTTTATCACTTCTTCCTATCCAAGTCACATTTCTCTCACCATACCACCACCTACTATGGGGATAAAGAACACTGAGTATGTCTAAATTGTGCCTAGCTCATGCCAGGGTAGAGTTGGGGCTCCTATACTTAATTTGTATGTAAAATTTTAGTTGGTTTTACTTCTGATTCTTGTAAAAATTACATAACAAGGATGAAAGCCACTAGGGAAAGGGAAAAACTAGCCAGGGACAATACCCCAGAGCCATGTTCTCTTCCCTTCTCCCCCTCAGGTGCCCTCACTTTCTCTTCTACTCACCAAAATCTAAAGTGATTTGTAATCCACCACCCCCATTTCCAAAATCAGATTTCTTAGAGCAAAGTCTGGTTTCTACTCAAAAGCTGACCTCTAGGTAAATAAGCAAATACTTTTGCCCCAAGAATTTGCCTAGCTCCCCGATCCCTTCAATCCTAGTGAGAAGCAAACATTCCCTCTCCCAGCTGCAGCTTTTTACTCCACGTGGCAGGCTCCCTGGACTTATGGGAATTCCCAACTCTCCATCTTCTGGGTCGATCCCTATCCTTGCCTTGGTAGACATGGTATTCCTCACATTTTTTTTCTCTAGGCAGTGGGCCCAAATTCAAGTAAGGCTGCTTAAGAATATGACCTCAGTGCTAAACCCCATACTCTGCCTCACTTAGCCACATACACCACTAGCCTTCAAGCCACAGGGTCTCTCTTCATAAATGTCTGTATTTCCCTTGTTATCCAGAGTCTCTCTGGATTATACTCAAAGTCCTAGCTTTTATTTTGTCTGGCAACTTTCCTAATATGTGGTCTTTAACTTAAGGGCTCCCCACTCCTTGTCACCATTAGGTGCAGTGAGTCAGTAAAGGAGCATGGTCTTCAGCAACATTCCTCTTCTCCAATAGAGAAATTGTTTATGACAATCCCTTACAAATTTCTGGGTTTCCAGAAGTTTTCTGATGATTGGTGATGAACCCCTGGATATAAAGTGTTCGGATTCTCCATGGTCATCAAATCATGGAAATAAAGAACCTTTTCACTATCCAGCATGGCAATAAATTCTAGGCAGAATACCTCAAAGTTGAGCATCATGTTTTCTTTGGAGGGTTTCCTCAATTGAACTAACAAATCTTTTCTTTAAAAAATGCAGTGACCAAAAGAAGCAACATGGTGTGATGGAAAGCTGCACACCAAATCTGGCAATACACAGACGGGGGTTTTGAGTCAGCCCTGCCAGTTTCTAGCTGCTCTGACTGCCATTTCTTCAGGTAGAAAATGAAAGACACAGATTATGTCTATAAAATATGGCTGCTATGAAAAGATTATTAACTAAAATGTAAAATACAACATGTTTCAACAGTAAAGTGCCATACACTGATTTGCTACTTAAGACATTTATCCATTCAACAAATATTTCCTGAACAATGTTTGTGTACTCAACTCTGTGACAGACCATGAGAGGACTTCAGTGTATATCTTGCATTCCTGGAGCACTTTCTGCTTATTTAAAACTACTTTTACTTACCCATCTCAATCAGTAAAACCACAAATTGTCCCAATGAGAAAATTAAAGTACAAAGAGACCGAAGTAGTAGAGCAAATGGAATACAGTTCTCCTTTTACTTAGTCAGAAATAGGGGTCATTTTACCATGTAAATCCAGCAGAATGGGAGTCTACAATTGTATTCTAATGAAAGTTCAGACTCATAGCCTGCTGTTCTCTATTTAATGAGTATTCCCCAAATATTGGTACCCTCATGCAAAATGCAGTCTATCAAGGTTTGACCTATTCATACCAGTTATGCATTTTGTTTTTGAATGAATCTACTGGGATCATACTGGTTTTTAAAATCAAACCTAACATTTTTTTTAAATTGACACTGCTTCTGTCTGTACTAGGCCCTCTTTACAACAGAAATGTCCTTTTCAGACTCTGGCCTGCCTCACCCTTTGACTGAGTAGCAAGGGAGACTTACAAGAGCAAACAGCTTTCCCAAGAATAGGAAATTCCCATTTATCCAGAATGCTCAGGAACTTGGAAGTTCTGGCAAATTAAGTGTCCTAATTGCCTTAGACTAACCTGCATTTACAGTCCCCAGACTCTGGCAATCCACCAAACCTTCTAGGGAAAGCAAGAGGCATGGTGGTGTTTCCTCCTAAGTTGGAGAGCACGTGAAAATTGATGTCTATTTGTGAGTTCTAAAAGAGGAGACTGAACAAACATTTGGGTTGGCTCTGATGCTGCGTAACTGAAAATTATTTCTGATATTACCCGTGCCTTCAAATACAATACACTAATATTTAAAACACATGAGCATACTTAAATCTGATAAATGGAAAGCACTTCAGTATTTTGCAGTGTCCCCATGGTCCCCAATTTAAAAAGCCACTGTTAATTAATAAGGCTATGGAAAAATTGTGGTTATGTTCAGCTTCTTATTCCCTGAATTCAGAGAAAGAGTTTGTTTTTTGTATATATATTGTACATATCATTGATGAAATATTGCAAACATTTACATTAACATTTTTATGATTTTCAAATGGGGAGATTTCTTTACCCAGGGGGAACTTCAATGTGATCTTGAAAGGATATGAAAGGAGACAGTACAGAAGTCTAATATTATACTTTTTATAAAATATTAACTGTCTCACAGAGAGCTTGTGCAGATACTTTTAAAAGTGCTAATGGAAAAAGCTAGGTTTTTTTGTTTGTTTTTGCAAATTTTGTCCATTTTAAAACCTCCTGTGCTTATAGAATATAGACAGTCTTAAAGTATATTTTTTAAATCATTGACATCATGAAAATTTTACAACTCTCTCATTATTATTGAATGTCAGGAGAGAGTCATTAAAATCATTACACATCTATCTTTGTGAATCAAATAAGTGCATTAAAAAGCCTATTATCCCCCCAAAACTATTTAAAATCAAATTTACCTTTCAGATTATCTTTCTACAAACCAGTTGTTAAGGGAGAATTTGAGTGAGGGGCACTCTGACAGACACTATCTAAAGAGTCACTACATTCAGTCTCTGTTTAGCCATGTGAACTTTTTTTCTTTCCTTCTTTTTTAAGAAAAGAAATCAACAGTGTGTTGCAATGAGATAAGAATCTATGATCCACCAAATTAGTGTAATTGAATTTTGAGGTCTGCCTTTTGATTTCAGAGTCTGCAAATGATTGTACAGTAGACTTTGAAGAAAAAAAGCCATGTACTCTTTCTCTCTTTCCGTGTCTTTGAAGGCCATCTGCTAAGCTCTGTTCCTTGCATTAGGCTTTTTGGCCAATAGTAAAACATGCAAAAGACTTCAAATGATAAAAGGGACTTACGTATGTCAAAGGACTTTTAGAATTGAAAGGGGCTGCTTCTCCCCTTGTGGACAAAGTGTGTGATTCTTTGGACCAAATTGTTCTGAACATAGTAATTAGTTTTTCTTTATCTTAAAATTTAAAATTGTACTCTGCCTTGAACTGTTCCTGGCTAATAGAAGATTTCCCTTTAAATTATAATGACTCATGCTTAACTTTCAATCTTCACATCTTTGTCTATTTTCCCAGTGAGCTTTAAAATTCATACTGCCCCATTTGGCAGAAAAAGAAACTGAAGGCCTAAAATGATTAGATGCCTTTCACAAGGCTCCATATTAATTAGTTGTACAGCTTGGTCCCTTCTTTCCTTGAAAATGGTGACTATTTCCTTTAAAGATAAATTTGAAGCATCTAGCTCTAGGAAAAAGTCATTGGGATGACTGCTGTTTGGGTAATTTTAGGTAATCTTTGAAAAATCTGAGCACTTCTTACTCCAAAGGCATTAACAATTTTTCTTACTCTAGGCATAATTTGACACTATGGGTCCTCCTCTGAAGCTCTTCAAAAATCAGAAGTACCATGAACTGAAGCAGGAGTGCATCAAAGACAGTAGACTTTTCTGTGATCCAACCTTTCTGCCTGAGAATGATTCTCTTTTTTACAACAGACTGCTTCCAGGAAAAGTGGTGTGGAAACGGCCCCAGGTAACTTCCTCACCACCCCCTTTCTCTTTCCTTGACCTCCTTTATCAAAACCTTGCTTAGGCCTGGGATGTAGCTCAGTTGCACAGTGCCTGCCTGGCAAGTGCAAGGTCCTGAGTTTGATCCCTTGTACTGAAAAAAACAAAACAAAACAAAAAACTTTGACCCACTCCATTACAGGGAACTACTGTATAGACCAATTTTGAAGTCAACTTTCTTCCTGCCTCTATCCATTTGTTTGTGTCCCTCTATCTCTCTGTCTCTGTTTCTCTATCGTTTTCTCCATTTCTTCTTCTAACTGTATTGAGGTATAATTGACAAATAAAAAATACATGTACATTTATCATGTAAAACATAATGTTTTTGTATACCTAGACATTGTGAAATGATTACCACAATCCATCAATTCACATAGAAATAACTTTAAAAGAGGAAATTTCATGGATCTGTGTTCTGGGCTTTAAGGAGACTAGAATTTTAGTCAAATTTGTCACATTAATAATTTTTAAAAAGAGCAACAACAGAAGAGAAGATATATCATCCTTATTATATTTGGAAGTTCATTTAAGTAAATATGGTAATTCAAAAAGGAACTATACTCTTGTCTCTTTACTAAGTTTACTAAGCAACTTAAAAACAATCTCACACTAGTGAGGAGAAAAGCTCCTTAAAAAGTGAGCATAAATGAACTCTACAGGGAGAAGATGGATTTTGCATGGTGGAGGGGAGTCTTCTTTGCTGCTCTTTGAATATCATCACCTGTATCATTTCACAATTGGCCAGGTAGGCTCTGCGTAGAACTACAGCTTTTTACCACTTATTAATAGTAATTATTAACAGTTGTCATGGTTCTCTGTGGAATGTAGATACATTGTGTCTCAAAGCAAGTCACAAGACCCCTTTTCACAAGCACTATATGAGTGGGAACTCAGTGTATAATAAGATATAATGATAAAGTCTGGAGAACAAGTATCAACTTTGCTATATCCAAAGAATATAGCTGGATAGAAGAATATTCTAGCTGGGCTTCTTTGAAATGTGGATGACAAGATGGATAGGCCACAGAGGGATATTGTGAAAAGCGAGTTCTTGAGCCTTCACAAAACTCTGAAGACATTTTACAGTATTTAATAAGATATCTCTCTGTGTCTTATAATAGAACCACCTCAGTCACTAACTCATGTTTGCCTTCTTTAACAAGCCAACTACCACTCTTTGTGTTGTGTGTGTGTGTGTGTGTGTGTGTGTGTGTAGTACTAAAGACTGAACCTAGAGATGCTCTACCATTGAGGTAAATTCCAAGCCTCTTTTATTTTTATTTTGAGACAGAGTCTTGCTAAGTTTCCCAGACTGGCTTTGAATATGTGACCCTCCTGCCTCAGCCTCCTTAGTACCTTGGATTACAGGTGTGCTCCACAGCAATTATCAATTTTTATTTGAATTTCCACATTTTGTACTCCCAATGGAGTTCCAAGAACTACTTCAGTTTATGCTGGTTGCCACCAGGTGGTGCCAAGATACATTAGTTACATTAAGTGTGTTGTTTTGTATACAACTCAAAAATCATATTTTAGTGATCCTTCAAAAAGAATGATAGCCATTGAAAGTGTGAGACTGGGAATTGGAGTGCTGCTTATTGGTAGAGTGCATGCTCAACATGAACAAAGCCCTGGGTTCAAACTCTACCAAATAAATAAATGAACAAATAAGGAAGATGATAAAGAAAGCGAGACTAGAAGTTCTTTCCATCAGATCTGTGTCTCTAGTTCTTGAGATCCTTGGAGATCATTTTGCTATCCTGTAATAAAAATCTGAGAAACATTAGCAGAATTCATTAGCCACTATTTGAGTATGCACAAAGTAAGACTATTTTCTTCTAAAAATATATCTAGAAAATTGAGATATTTTGTCTGGGAGCCACTCTGATGAGTCATAATGAGGGGTATCACTGTATTGTGATGCTTGGCTATGAATGAAAGGACACCAGCAGGGTAGAAATAGCTGAAAAAGGAGCAGAAAATTGAAAGAGGTTTATTGATGAGTGTCTTTACAGAATAGGACAGACTTGAACATATTTATAGGCTAAAGGATAGACAGTAAAGAAGAGGTTGAAGAAGATATTGAAGATACAGGAGAGAGAAGTAATATGGTCCTGGAAGAGGTGGGAGGAGGTTGGGTGAAGCAGCAAAATTGCAAGTCAGGATGAAGCCATTCTCCAGACATAAGTCAAGCAAAAAGTGCTTCCTGTGCTGGCCAGTCTTTAAACATATCCTTCCCCCCTCTCGAGTCTCAGCCCTTTGTTCTTTACCATTATTGTAAAATGACTGTGGATTTAAACCTAGATGAATTACCTGGGGTGGAACAAACTTAATAACCAAAACAATAGTCCATTTTTTTCTCTGAGGTAAGTGATACAGGAATGATATAGGGGATGAAGTAGGACCTCTGAATGATATAAGGGAAATATTATAATTCCCAAGCTGTTAGATGTCTGATACACTGAGTTTGTGTTCTCTAAAATCAAAGAATGAATTCTAGAAGTAACAGAGGGTCAAGAGTAGGAAATGTTTATTGAAAGGATAGCTCCTGAGAGTCAGGAGGGCTCTTGAATGGGTAGCCAAGGACCCCATTTTTCAAGGCAAGTTTTATAGAGCAATGGGTACAACGTGGGTTAAAGCTATGAACAACCAATTAGATTACAAGGCAATAGTGATCCAATGGGGGAATAAGTCATGTAACAAGTGTACGTGGAAAGAACAAAGAGTTTTTCTAGGAAATGATGGGTCTAGAGGTCTTGATCACCCACTGGGGTGATTGATGTCTAACTAGATTCATTAGGCCAAGTGTTACCTCTTATCTTGTCCTTTGGGGAAATATGCAAGCCTGGTCATTTCATCTTTACCTTGAGGCTTGGCCTCTAACAGATTTGTCTCTGACCATGGTTGTAATGTGTTTTTATCTTTTGTGTTGACTCTGTCAAGGGCCCAGTCCTATCTGACTGCCTATAATATTTTTACCTAACTTAGCTGTCTATAATATTCCCCCCTCTGAAAAGTTATCCCAAACTGCTATGGGGGGACAGGAGACAATGACCATTCTGGCTACTTCAGGCTGAAAGGGCTGTAGTTGTGATCGAGAGTCAGAGATACTGTCCAAAGTGTCTATCTAAAGGTCCTCAATAGACATCAGGCATTCTTGACTTGGGTAAGCATATAGCTTTAAGACTGGAGGAAACAAGGTTAACAAAACAGTTAAGTACATATGGGCCAAATAATAGGATCAACAAGACTATCATGAATATAGCCAACAAATGTTTCCACTAGGAAGAGCCAGTAATAGCCTTCTACACAGGGATATAGAGAAGGTCCAGGGAATTTCAGAATCTGACATGACCTTAACCTGTTGTTTAATATCTTGAACAGCCATTAAGATATTAGCAGAAGTATTAGGAATTTACACACAATATTTATCTTTTACAGTTGCGCAAGTACCCCCTTGTGTTGCTGTCAGAATGTCTAAGACCATCTGATTTTGGAGGATGGCTTGCCTTATTAATTTTATTTCTTCATTTAGGAGAGAGAGAGACTAGTTGAGGTGTTGTTTAATGCCTGTTGAGTATAGTTAGTCAAGGTCTCAATGTGTTCTATGGCATCTTCTAATCTTAGGAAAGGGACAAAGACAGAAGCCAAATGATCATACCAGTGAAACACACTTCTAGACCATCGATGTTGTAGACAGTGTAAATTTGTAAGTTTGTTGATATTTTTGACACTCTTGCCTTGTAACCACACAAATCCCAGAGTGCATCTCCTTATCTATCCAGGGGATAGCCAGGGCCACAAATTGCTCCCACAGGACCAATGAGTGCCACTGGGGGGCTTCCCATCTAATTCTAGGGCAATTAATTCTGTTGCAAACCAGTCTTTGATTTGTAAGGTTATAGTGTATATACATTGTTCTGGGGATGTCCATCTCAATTATTTAGTAGAGTTAGGCTGATAAGTATGGGAATATTTTTTCTGTTCCCAACATAAGGGGACCTTTCAACTACATTGTTCTATATTTGGAGCTAATCATATATAATCATCTCATATCTGAAAGTAGCCATCTTGATATCTCTGATTGTTGGCTCTGATCATAGGACCTTTATTTTTACTTAATAGAAGTTTTACTAGTGTCTGTAGAGAGGCTTTAGTGGAATTTTTTAAAAAAACATTTGATTATGTCCAGGATCATTAAAAGTGAAGTTTATAGGTCACTCAGTTACCTTCTAACAGTGGGCTAAGCTATGAACCACTGAATTTTTTTGTGTGTCTCATCAATGTAGTCTTGTAGCTTATTCTAATCATCTCCTTGAAGTGGGGATACCTACCAAAGAAGTCCTGATGTACTTGACAAGGGGAGCAAGCCATATATCTAGCAAGATATCTGTTGTAATGACTCTGCATATTCCTATGCCCACACTAGAAAGGAATTTCACTCTTCTTTAAGTTGTGAAGTAATTAGTAAAAGGGCTAAGAGCAACACCTTAGGTTACTTATCTGAAGACTTGACTTTCTTTTTGAACAAGAATTTTGAGTCTTCTATGGGTTTACAGGAGTATTTGGATGATTGTTCACACTCAGTGAGAGTCTGGTTCCCAAGGCTTGAGTCAGGTATGGTGTATGTAGGAGTCTCGGCCTGCTACCTTAACAGCTGATGGAGTTGGCAGGATCACAGTATATGGTTCTTCCCAAGTTGATCCTAGGGAAGGAGATGATGAGGGAAGAGACCTACCAATATGAAGTCTCTGGGGCTGAATATAGGATTTCTTTTCTCTTTAGGTTGAGCTTCTGTTAGCTGTTGAAGAATCTGTTGGAATTTAACCAGTAAGGTGGTGTATTTTAATAAGACATCTATTTCTCTATCAAAGAGAAAAATCATTAGTGAGAAAAGGGAATCTATAAAGCATTTTAAATGTATTGAGGCTTAGAATTTGAGGTGTATTTCTTATTTTGATAACA